GGCCCTCTGCAGCGACCTCTACCGGCGCCCCATACTGAAAGGCAGTGTTTGAATTTGCCTCGAGAGAGTGAAGTTCCTGCCGCGATGGCGCCGCAACAGCTGCAGGGCAGCGCTCAACGGCAGTCCAAGGTTCAGATTGGGAATTCCCCTCATCCAAGGTATCTCCCTCATCAGCCGGAGTGTAAATTTCTTGAATCTTCGGGGGAGCTAGGTCTGCTTGGCTTTCCAGCTGCCGGAGTTGCGGCAGAGCCCCAGTCTGAATGTCATTGAAAAGCCCGCGGAAGAAGTCAGCCACGCCGCTGCCCGTTCCCACGCACGGCTCAGCGAAATGGCAACAATCTAAGCCACCGCAGCACAGACAAATGGAAGAAAGCAGTGCTTTAGCGCCGTTCACAGCCCACGCCTCCTCTAAAGGAAGCGGCTCCAACACACTCGGTGGCTCCTCTGCGGGTCGGAGCAACGGAGGCACAAATGGGGCACAGGTCCCAGTGGAGCGGTGGCTCTGTGGATGAGCGGATTCCAATTCTTTCCATCCTGATTCATTAAGAACAGAATGCCCAAATCCCGCTTCCTGCGGCGGCACGGGTGCAGGCCTCCTGAAGCCCTGAGGGGAAACTCCATTAGGCCGAGGCAAGCCCCCGGCAAGGCGCCGCTTCGGGAGGACTTTAACCCGATCCGCTGAAGCAGCAGACTGTGAATTCGATGAAGAGAGGGATCCTGGAGCCTTCTGAACCTCTGCAGAATGAGGCTGAGGCTGAGCCTGTAGCTTCTTCTGTCCACGCAAAGGCTGAGGGTTCCCCAACAACTGAACCAAATGCACTTGGAGTTCAATTTCCTGCCTGCGCAAACAGCACCGCAAGCATACACAAGTCTATGCTAAGCATCTATCAGAGACATTCGTGTTGCCATGCCCTCGGTTCTACACATCCAAGGGGAAAAGCATGCTTGCAGTATTGGATATATCCATTCATTTGCGTTCGTAGCAGTGCATACACCGTAAAAACATGGAACTTGTTGTGTCCAAGAAGAGTGTCGATAAGCCACTGCTAATGCAACTGAAATCCTGTTGTGCCCTCCTAAGAAAGCTGATATCGCCTACAAGCAACAGAAACTCGATGGGAGAAACTACGGTCAATACTGCGGACGACGCAGTAGGCCAGGCAACCGACCCATTCAACGAACTCACTGCGCCACAGCCTCTGGGGTGTTGGGAGCAAGCCGCCAAACCTCGAGGGGCTCGCTGGTAATGCTAGCGCCTTCAGGAAACAGCTTCAATACGACCCAACCACGCTCAAAGCAGCACGTGCAGAGACCGTCTCGCCAAGACTTGTTTTTTTTCTGTTTCTGTGCAGTGTATATGCACTCGGCAGAGAAGTCGAACCACGTTGGGGGCGCTAACATCTCCACAAAGCCGTGTGGTGCTCAAAGTGAGGTGCTCAGAAGCTCAAAGGGATATCCTCGACCCTCACACCACATGTCTTCAGCCCCAGCTTCAGCGCAGCTGCAAAATCCCCTGCCAC